AATTGAAGGGGGTCTGAATACTTTCCGTACCCACTGTATATATATATATATATATATCATATATAATATGTGTGTGTGTATGTAGTTCTTTGTAATTTCTGAAGTAATGGGTTCTGAACATTTAGCTTTGCCATTACAAAAATAAATTACATTTTAAAATATATTCAAATAATAAAACTGTTATTTTAAATCATATTAATATTTCACAATATTACTGTTTTTCTTGTAATTTTCCTGTATTTTGTATTATTTCCTCATTCACCTCTCATTTTCATTATACTGAAAACATCAGCATCCACATTTTGCTAATTTCTTCTATAGAAGGAAGAAAATCATGTAGGTTTGGAATGACATGACATTTGAGTGAATTATGACTATTTAATTTTTTGGGTGAACTATTGATTTCTTTATAATTTTTTTGTTATCAGTCTGAAAATTACTTTTTGTAAATTTTTCCATTTTTGTTCAATAAACCACCACTCACTCTTTCTTTCATTTGCTCTACCATGTTTCTACTTTATCTCTGATCTTTCTTTCAGCACCCATTTCTGAAAGAAATTTTCTCACCTTCATGACATTAAACAGAACTTCCTGTCCCAGGCTGTCCTGGCCTTTGAAGAAGTCGTGCTCTGGATATGTGCGGGCAATATCTCTGCGTATGAGTTTTTCACAGGGTGAGGACATCTTTAAGAGTTCAGAGTACTGATTCTTTACTGGCATGTCAGTGGCATTACATAATAACTGCCAAACGATTGCTCGGAAATGATGAGGAATGCCTTTCCTTATTAGCTCCTGCGGATAGAGAGAGGGTAAGGCAGAAAATAAGAGATGAATGTACAGGTTTCAGATCCTTTTGTCTAGCGTCTATCATGTGGGTTAACACATTGTCATTCTGATTCTGAATGAAAAAGGACCAATCAATCACCTTCAGAAGTTTGTCTTTCTTTCGTCTCCACTCGTCCCACTCATTGACAATCCGTCCCCACAGGATCCAAGTGTCTTCTTCCAGATGGGACAGGTTAGAAGATGCCGAGGAGCTTGACACCAGAGAGGAGCCACTATTCCTCCGAGATCCACTCATTGAGCGCATGGATTTGGAATCTGCTTCTAGCAACCTGAATGCAACACAACACACTGAGATCAGGGTATACAAATGGTAGTGCAGCCTTGTGGTTAAAGATCTGGGCTGCTACCCAAAAGGAAGTGGGTTCAAATTCTGTAAGGGAGGTTAAACCTATACTATTGTTCAAAGGTTCAGGGTCTGTAAAATTGTTTTCAAGGAAATTAATAGTTTTATTCAGTAAGGACACATTAAATCGAGTAGTAACAGCGAAAAGAGGAAGTAAAATTGATAGTAAAGACATTTACATTTCAAATAAATGCTGTACTTTTAAATGTTCTATTCATTAAAAATCCTGAAAAAAAAAAAAACGTATCAGTTTCCACAAAAATTAAGCAATTGTTTTCCATCACAGGAATAAAGTATATTAAAAAAAGGATTTAGTAGAAGAGGCAGCTATTTTAAATTGCAATAATATTTCATAATATTACTGTTTGTACTGTTTTTTGATCAAATAAATGTACTTAATAAGACTTCAAAATCTTTAAAAATTATACTGACCCAATCTTTTGAACTGTAGTATACCGTTATCTTTTGCATAAACATTTAGTCAAGAGAACTTGTCTAAATGACAAATTAAATACTGTACATTGGTGGTGAGTAGGATCAAGAACATGGACTTTTAGAGTACAATCTGCAGGATGGAATAACAACAACAAATAACTTAAGAAATCAAAAAAAAAAAAAATGTTCTAAAGAAAACTTCCACACTGTTGTTTTCTTGAACTGAGGTACTACAGCAGTCTGTCACTGCCCATTAAAGAGCGTCAAAACATTCACTGTTTTGACAATGGTTGAATTCGTTTATAAAATGCTATCATAAAATTAACATAATATGACAGGTGAGACTTTGTTTCATCTCAAAAGTAACAAAGCACAGAGCTTATTGCGATTTTTTGGATGGGATGTGCGCTACAAATAATGTTCAGTGAAGTTTTGTTCACACATCAACTGAAAACAGCCTAGACTAAAAGAACAATTCTTGGGATTTTGAATCGATATTGGTTTATCAAAATGAGAATAGATTAAAATTGAGAAATCAATATTTTTAACCCAGCCTAGTTGCTAAAGGTGGTTGCAATATCAAAAGAGCCCACCTCAGAGCCTCCATTATATTCTGGCACCTAGATATGTCTTATAAGAGCATGTTCACAATAGCGTGATTTCTGTCAAATTCCGCAACAAAAACAGTCTATTGTCGACTGTCAGTACAGTGTAGTGATGTATAAAGCACAGCTTACACAGAAACCAAGCAGCATTCTGTTGTTCAAAACAGTGAATTCATGTGAAAAACTTGATGCAAAATCTGCATGGGGAAATGTTGCGCCCTTGCGCAAAATTTCCAATCGCATTGATTGCTATTGAAATGACTGGATTCCGCTTGCAAAATTTCATCAAGCAACTGTAAATGTGACCTGATAGTGCATGATACATTTTTGTCTGTTTTATCAGAGTCTAAGTATGAGTAATAGTAAATGATGGTTGTCTTAGCAAAGACCACTAAACACAATACAGATGCTTCTTTATACACACCTGTTGACTCCACCACCGCTTGGATTCAAAATACTGTATTTCAGCTAGACTACATCGGCTGAATAATAGCGTATTAATGCCTTGTGAAATCTCTAGGAATCCTGGCGATCTCTCTGACAGAAGCACAGAGAATGTTTAAACACATTTCTACGACTGTAGCTTAAATGGCCCATTAAAGTTCTACATTCAGCATGGTAACTGTTGCTATTGTAGTTGCCAGGTAACCACCACAACAGATTAATAGCGAAAGCTTGTTACATATCAGCTGTTACAGGAAGAGAAGCTTAACTGCTATAAGTTTGCCACTCACAGGTCAAATGATAAACCACACACGTAGCTTTCTGTCTCAAGCATGCATAGTGTTTCCTTTGTTGAGGCGTTGCTACCTTCAGAGGGATGTCACGTATCAAAGCGCAACACACTATGTGCGTGTCATTTGACATTTGCTCTGTGCAATTACCCATTTGCTCGCCCTGATGCTGTTTCAAATACTCACAGGTTCGAAACCATTTTTTGAATGCCAAATGTGATTTATAAAATGTTTCCTGGCCACTGCTTTTTAAAGGGGTCATATGATGCGATTTCAATATTTCCTTTCTCTTTGGAGTGTTACAAGCTCTTGGTGCATAAAGAAGATCTGTAAAGTTGCAAAGACTAAAGTCTCAAATCCAAAGAGATATTCTTTATAAAAGTTAAGAGTCAACCACGCCTACCTAAAACGGTTCATTCTAAAACGCCCCCACATGTCTACGTCACGATGTGGGAAGATTTGCATAACGCCGCCCAAATGTTCACGCAAAGAAAGAAGGAATAACTTTTATTCTCGCTGTAGTATTGTTGTTGCCGCCGCCGCCATGTCGCGAAGGCGTTGTGTGTTTCGTGTCACCAAATACAGAAAATAATGTTATTTTTAGCAACATCATATGACCCCTTTAATATATTCAAAGTGACTGAGAACTGGGTCTATCAATCTCTGAAATTACAAAAAGGTACCATATGTGCATCAAGAAAAATCTATACAAATTATATTCTTTTAAAGTCATAGCTTTGTGTGAGTAACTTTAAAAAGAAAAAAATGAGGTTGTCATTCTTCCTTTTCATTGAGCTGTTAACCGCTGAGACCAGATCATTGAAGTTTAACCCGAGAACCGGATAAATCAGACTTGTGAACAAATCATTAAGATTGGATCTGTGAACTGAAACAACACAATTATTGAAATATAATCAGATTTATGAGAACAAACCAGACATTGTTACTTCTCTCATGATCATGCCAAAGAGCTACAGTGATTTTCAAGGAATAACGACAAGGTGGCAACAACTTATGACATATATCCGAGTGAAACAGATTATCGAATAATAAAAAATGTATGGCGGGGACTTGATTCTGTCCATTGGTTGTTGATTGGTGGAGGAAGATATGAATGTGAGCTTGCAATCGATTGTAAAAAGGGGGAGTTTAAGTGGACTAAACACACATCACCAGAGATGAGTCTGTTGTTTGACCGGAAGATTGAGTTATGACATTTTAATTAAAAATTGTGTCATTTTGGTACTTGACATTCTGGTCTTCATTCACTTTCATTATATAGAAAAGAGCAGCCTGGATAGTCATGTAATTTTGAAAAAACATTATGGTGAGTAAACAATGGCCTGTTTTTCAGTTTTGGATGAACTCTAAAGCGATCATTAAAGGGATAGTTCACCAAAAAATGAAAAATGTGTCATCATTTGCTCACTCTCATGTTGTTGAGTTTTTTTCTTCTGTGGAACGTTAAGAATGTATTTTGAAGAATGATGGTAACCAAACAGTTTTTGCCATTGACTTCCAAAAAATATTTGAAAACTGTTTCGTATGTACGTTGCTCTTGTTTTACCTGTTCTGTTCCTCCAGTTTAGCCAGAAGCTCGAGCTCATCTGGACTGAGGTTCTCTGAGTCAGCCGGGGAGGCCGCCGGGGCAGAGAGCGCAGCATCATGGGAACTGGAATCCGGACTGAGCACTGGGCTGCCAGCTAAAGGAGGGTCAGTTTCCAGACCAGGAGGCGAGTTGAGGTCCTCCAGCTGAACAGAACCTGCCATCCCTCCCTCTCTCTCTGGGCTGCTGCTAGGGCTTGACATGACGGAGGAACCCAGGACAGGAAAAGTCCAGCAGTGACGTGGGGACTTGGAAGGATGCTACAGGGTTCTTGGCGCCGTGGATGTAAACAGGCTTCCTTGAAGACGTGTATATCAGGACTGGGTTAATCTGTGGAAATGAGGGAAGTGAGATTATGTATTGAGGGGCTGCGCAATTCATTGGAAAAAAGAATTGAGATTTTGATTGCGGCTGCTGTGATTAACTAATTAATTCAGTGTTTATGATGAGAGAGCTCTAATATTGTCTAGTACTGAAAACGTAAACCAATCATGTCTTCCTCTTTAATACTATAACATGAAATAAACAACCACAGAAAGTATGTTGAATCATACAGTACAGTTTACTGAAGTGTTTTAACTACGAAACAACACTTGTGAACAGCAAGTGTTACTTGAGTAAGTAAAAACAACATGTAGCTTAAATAATAAATAAGAATAAATAATAAAGTCCATTTCGAATTATAATTTGGCACTACCTACTGTTGAGCTGAATTTATTTTGGACATTTATGCTCATACAAATTTGACATACATATTAATAATTAATGCCTCTTAATTCTAGGAACTTTAGGTTTTTATGTTGGGAATTTGTTATTTGTAAAGTAAGTATTTTTATGAGAACATGAATAAAACAAATAAAACATTGAAAAATAAATGGCAGAAGTTACGGTTATTATTTATTGGCTAATAATAACTAACAAAGGTTAGTATCTAATCAGAAACTAATCAGAAAATAATTTATAGATTTACCAATGGTTAGATAACCAGAAAAAAATAAATAAATAGAAAATATAATAATTAGTAACAGCCCTAAAATTTGCGATCTAGTAATCACATTAAGCCATATCACAATTTCTGTTTTATTCTGATTAATCTCAAAAATAAAATCGGCTCAAACTATGTTTGATTTCCTGATGGAATCATAGTCTACAGCTAAAAATAAATAAATAAGTGTGCTCATCATCATACACTTATAGGATATTCTCTGAGAAAATCTGTCTAACTCCAATTGCCTAAATTGCAATTGCCTATTTGGCTTTGGCAACTAGCGCCGATTCGTCCAGACAAAAATAAAAATAAAATTCTGGTCAAAAGTTGTGTAGTGCATTCCAGTCTTACATCTATGTCACCTCATATTTAAATGAACGATGACGTGCAAAGCAAACCTGTGACGCTGTTTGAATACAACCAAGAAGAAAAATGACTGTACAGCATATGTGATCTGTGTAAGTGTTTTGTACTGCATTACAACAGCAAGCTATTTGTATATCCTACAACAAACCACAGACACAAATGGAGCAGCTAAGCCACAACCTAAGCCATTAACGAGAGAGAGGGAATGTGCATTATATTTAGAGTATAGAGTAATGGGCGGATGACAGAGAAATAGACAAACACTCATGCGTTCATACACATATTACTAAATTACTAAAGACAAATGTGGTGTGTTTTCTCAAAGGAACATAAAAATTTAGAGCTTGGTAAGCCCTGTTTGGGTTTGGAACAGAAATAAACCCTGTCTCTGTAGTTTCACATAGTCAGACATCTGACTAATCAGTAACAGGTCTGGTCTACACTGAAACTTATTCTGGCCAAGAGCCGCCAACTAGACAGGAAAAAACCACAGCTCATTTTGTTTTTACGTGGCATTTAGGGGCAGGGTTATCGGAAACCATAACAGAATAATAGACTGACAGAGAAAAAAAAAAATACAATAATGCTGTGACGGTTATACAGAAACCACTGGAATAGCAGAAAATGCTTATATACTGAATAAATACTGATCTTTTGTTAGACAGTTTTTATTGTGGATCTTGTTAACCTTTGACCAAGTGCCTAAAAAACTCTAAACCGTTCAAAAGTCTGGGGTTGGTAGGATTTAAAAAATGTTTTTCAAGTCTCTTATACTCAGGAAGGCTATATTTATTTAATCAAAACACAGTAAAACTGTAGAATTGTGAAATATTATTAGAATTGAAATAAGTGTCTTTTAAAATGTAATTTATTTCTGTGATGGCAAAGCTGATTTTTCTTTACTATAGCGATTCCTCCAGTCTTCAGTGTCACATGATCCTTCAGAAATCATTCTAATATGCCGATTTGCTGCTCAAGAAACATTTCTTATTATTACTGTAGAAAACAGTTGTGCTGCTTATAGTTTTTGTGGAAAAAAATAAACTTTTTCAGGATTTCTGTAAACAGCAGCATTTATTTGAAACAGAAATCTCTTGTAACATTATAAATGTCTTTATTGTCACTTTTATCAATTTAATGTGTTCCTTCTGAATAAAAGTAGTACTTTCTTTCTCTATATAAAAATAAATAAATAAAAAAAAAATCTTACAAAGCCCCAAATTTTTACACGGTAGTTTATCTTTTAAAATAACACCACTAAGCTGCCAAACCTTTGAAAATACATTGATTATTTAATTCTCAACAGCACTCATATCTAACCAATTCCTTGCAATTTTGAATGTAATATGCATCAGAAAGTCATTAGATGTCTATCAGTGCTAGAGGTGTAATGGTTCTTGGTAAAAAAAAAACAAAAAAGAACCGCACTCGACACCTTAGGTTCGCATTTGTACCGCGATTAATCTCAATCCTAACAATGCATATGGAAGACAGCAGTTAAGAATAGATTAAAATTTATAAGCATTTATAAATACGCTATGAACTGTACCGAAACCATGCCCCCAAAACCCCAATGCAATCTATGGGGTGACACTACTATTCCTATAGTTTGGTAACACTTTAGTTTAGGGACCAATTCTCACAATTAACTAGGTGCTTATTAGCATGCCTATTAATAACACATTGGCTGTTTATTAGTACTCATACTCTAAAAAAAGATGGTTCTTTAAAGGTTCTTTACATGCAGTAATGGTTTTATTTAGAACCATAGCATTCTGAAGAACCCTTTTATACTCAAATGGTTCTTTGTTCCCGCCCTTTTGTTTTTCAAATCTGTAACTGTCAAAGCATCTCATTACTGATTTTCTGGAGTTCAGTGATCCAACTACACAGACTGTTAACACGCTCTCAACAGGTAAATGATTTCATTCTTAAATTTAAATACAAATTTAACTTTAAAATCGTAACTGCTTTCCAAACAAACATGTTCTTATCTTTTTTTTTAGTTTTTGGTCACATATAAGTGCGTGCAGCTCTGCTAAGCTGTGGAAACTTCTCTCCTCTTCTCCACTAAGTAAGTAAAAGAAACAATGAATTTTTAATTCATATTGTTAGATTTTTTTAATTATTACTTGGGTTTATGTATAAACATACCCAGTCACAAAACAATTTTAAAACTATCCCACAAGATTGTGAAGGGCTCACATACTGTCTATTTTTGCCTTTGGCCTTCATAAACATATTTGTTTTTACATAAACACACTGTAACTCTGAACTCAATTGTGTATTTCAGATGTATCACATCCTACAATCTCATCATCTGCAGAGAAAAATCGCCACTTAATCACACCAAAATGATGGACTTAAAGGCATCATATTGATTGGATTGTGATTGTTTCACTGAAACTTGGTCTTATAACTATATAACTTTTTCCTTTTAACATTGTGAAGTGCTCACATACTACTTTTGGCCTTCATAAACAATTGTTTTTACATAAACAAATGAAAGGAGACAAACTGTATATATAAACTCAATTGTGCTTTTCAGAAGCTGTCACATCCTACAACCTCATCATCTGCAGAGAGAAACTGCCATTCAGTCACACCAAAATACAGAGAATGATTAACTTAGAGGTATCATAGAGGATTGTGAAGATATTTTACTGGAGCTTCGTCTTCAATACACTATTTTATGTTCTATTTTGTTTTATTTCTTTAAGCATTTATTTATGTTCAATGTCCATTGTCATTCATTAATGTATTCTGCTAATAACTGTTGTTAGAACACTGTCATTTTTGCTACAATTTCACGTCATTAAAAAAAATAAAAGTACCTAATTGACACGTTGTTGTTGTTGTTGATTTTATGTAAAACCCTAACAAACACTTCAAGATATTATAAGAACAGGCAGATAGAGGGGTAAAAAACAGTATTAATAAATAATATATACAAATAATACTAATATTAATGATATTAACATACTAATATTAATGGAAAACTATCATTAAAAAGGTTATTTATAACACCATTACGGTCCTATATGGCATTTTTAAAGCATGGTTCTATATGGAACCCTATTAAAAAGGTTCTATTTAGCACTAAAAAGGGTTCTGCTATTGTTACAAGCCGAAGAACCCTTTTCTGGTACTGTTTAGAACCATTTTTCTTTAATTCTGCATGACCATATTCTACATCCATAATCCTACCCAATAACTTAACAACTACCTTTATAAGCAGTAATTACGAGTTTATTGAGGCAAAAGTCTTAGTTAATACTGAGAATTGGACCTTAAAATAAAGTGTGACCTTTGATTCACTGATTTGGGGGTTCGGTGCCTTGCTCAAGGGCACCTCAGTCGTGGTATTGAAGGTGGGAGAGAGCGCTGTACATTCACTCCCCCCACCTACAATCCCTGCCGGTACGAGACTCGAACCCGCAACCTTGGGTTACGAGTCCGACTCTCTAACCATTAGGCCACGACTTCCCCCACTTTAAGCAGCACAACATAAGAAATGTTTCTTGAGCAGCAAATCGGCATATTAGAAAGATTTCTGAAGGATCACGTGACACTAAAGACTAGAGTAATGATTCTGAAAATTCAGCTTTCATCACAGTAATAAATTCGATTTTAAAATATTTGAAAATAGGCAAGACTTAAATTAAAACTTTTATAATATTTCACAATGTTACTGTATTTTTGATCAATGCAGCCTTGGGGAGCATAAGTGCTTCAATGAACTTGTATTGTCAGTGTTTATTGCAAGTGTCACCAATATCTGATGTACTTGAAGGAATTGCTATAAATAGAAATTTTATTTCAGTACTCTATACTGACACCTATTGCTGTGGATGCAGCGTAAAACAACAACAACAACAACAACAACAACAACAACAAACAACAGTATTCTGTTTCCAATGCCAAAGCAGAAATGCATTTATCACCCATGATTAATTTACTAAAAAAATACAAGATA